ATCTTATCTTATTTTTTTTTAGGGCGCGAGTTCTGACACACCCTTTATATTTTTGAATTACTCGGTATATTATGTTTTTTATTTGATAAAATTTTAAAAAAATATCATTTTTAAAGAACAAAGCTTTTCTTTTAATTTATTCAAGAATAAATACAAAATTTTATTTACAGACATTATACAGGGGAATTCCAAAAGAATTTGCAGTGTGCGCAAAAAAAGTTATAGTAAGTTTTAGAATCATGTAATATCTGTTCAAAATTGTTGGAAATAATCAAAATTATACTATTCAAAACCAGTTTTATTTATTTTTTTTACATAAAATTCACAGCAATTTGAAGCGCATATTAAGCGAAACAATACATTATTTAATATGCATTGCCGCGTCAACAAACCATACATCATTGAGAAAATAATAAAATGTCAACCTCCACTAATGTTGTTCTTCGTGTCGAGCGAATGAAATGTAAATATGCGGTAACGACCCCACAAAATTCAATTTGAAAAAAATCCTTGGCGATATTGAGATATCACCAGGAAAACAAATGGAAAATGTATTTATGCGAGCATTTTCCTCGTATCACGTGACCCAGAAACGGTATTTTCATCAATTGGGTCATTGTTTCATTATCAAAGGCTGCAATGGAAACTCCAAATCCATTTTATTCTCGAAGCGAAAATTTCAAATAAGCTGTCGTTTTGCCAACAACGAAGTAAATAAATAGAAGGTTACATAAACACAGAAATTTACTTAGTTGTTTGGCGAAAATCAAGTCGACTGGACTGAAACCAGTTCACTAAAATGACCGAAACCGAACGATACGGACAAGAATACAGCCGTTTGAGACGCTTAACGAGTAATTTAGACGTAATCCAGACATCTGTGAGTGGAGGGGAGGGAAAATGGCCGACTAAACCTAACCACACTTTTTTTTCCCCAGACTGAATATGGCTTGTCGGAGGACCAAGTGGCCGAGTTCAAGGAAGCCTTCATGCTGTTCGACAAAGACGAAGACGGGACGATAACAATGGCTGAATTAGGGGTGGTAATGCGATCGCTAGGTCAACGACCCACAGGTGAGTCGTAATGGCGGCCGGAGGGGAGGCTCATCCGCCATTTGCAGAAACCGAGCTTCGAGATATGGTGAACGAAGTGGACCAAGACGGCAACGGCACCATCGAATTCAACGAATTCCTGCAGATGATGTCCAAGAAGTTGAAAGATGCCGACGGTGAAGAGGAACTGAAGGAGGCTTTCCGCGTCTTTGACAAGAACAATGATGGGTTGATATCGTCCAATGAGCTGCGTCACGTGATGACTAGTCTAGGGGAACGCCTCTCTGAAGAAGAGGTCGACGATATGATCAAAGAGGCGGATTTGGACGGCGACGGCCAAGTCAACTACGAAGGTGGGTGCGAAAAATATTTGAGATATTTTCGACTTGGCTCCGAGTCAATAATTAGGCGATTTTAATGAGACGAGTATTGTTGCGTAAGGTCACTGCTCGTGATTGGATTCGACGCATTTCATTTTCAAATTTAATTAGAAAATGCTACGTCTTGGTGTTTAATTATAATTATAGCAGAGGAGTTTAATTAATTAGCACTCAAAATTTATTCTGATTCATTAATTTTATTAACTGATTAAAATTTAAAAATACAGGGTGTGCCAGAACTCGCGCCCCAGAGAAAAATTTCAAGTACGATAAGATACCAGGAACATGGAACATGAAAAAAAATTATCTGTCAAAAGAATTTAAAATATTTTTTGACATTTGACATTTTTCTTTGTCTATTTAATGATACTGATGATTTTGTATATGTTTTTTTACAATTATTTAGTAAAAGTATTTTTCTCTGGGGCGTGATTTCTGGCGCATCCTGTATAGCAGGTGAGTTTAATTTAATTACGATTAATTGATTAATTTTAATTTTAGTTTATTTTTGGTTTTAATTTCTTCTAATTACTAATTTTGTGATTTTTCAGAATTTGTCAACATTTTGACGGCCAAGAACTAGAAAGAGACTGGAAGAAAATGGTCCAATTAGAGTACTGCTTATATCAAAGAATGTCCAGCAGCAAAAACTAATTAAATTATATAAAATTAAACAACTAAAAGTCTACTCGTATTAATTACTACAAGCACTGCTTCTATTCTTTGTAATTCTTCTAGAAACTCCTCTATTTAAAAGAAGAAACAAATGCTGACTTACAGGGTTGAGATATTTATTAAAAATAATCGTCGAGAAATTATTTTTATTAAATACAGCCTTAATTAGTTGTTAATTTTCGTAATTAATTGTTAGGCCTTTTTCGAGTCTTTCTAAAGTAAGTTTACGAATTTTTCCTCTCTCCGCGTTTCTATGATGATGAAAAAAATTACGATACGAAAGCTTGACATGAGGTTGTTACTAATTAATCGCAATTATTTAGAATTCACGTTTAATTAGATAGCAATTAATTTTAAGACAAATTATATTCCATTTTATAATACGATCCAATAATGAATTTTTTACAAAGTTAGGCTTTGGCGTTTTCTGTAATTAATTAAATTAATTAATTCAGTAGAACCAATTTTTGGTGATTCAATGTTGAAGTTAAATGTTGAAAATGTATAAATGTCTGGTCCTCGTTAAAAAAATCGACAAGACGCCATATTTCCACTATTTTTTGTCTCTTTCGATTGTTTTAAAGGGGACACTCGTCATAGACAATAAAACTATTTAGTGAATGGCTATAATTTTGTAGTTTTTACTACAATCCTCTGTTGTTATGTTAAAGTTTTTATGTAAGTTTTATTTATCAAAATAGAGTGTTTTAATGACAAGCAAATTTTTTTCCTCACCCAAAAACAATAGTGACATAAAAAAATTAGACGACTTGTACATCAAGATTACTCACTCCAGATAATTTTTTGACATTTTAAATCCTATACATACAGGGTGATTCAGCTTAAATGACCCACCTGACCCCTCTTAGCAGACAACACATAATACATTATGCACTTATGCCTTGATTCAAAATTAAATTTGCAAAATATCGAGAATCAAAGAACGATATTTTTCGATTTATGAAACTTTCAAAATTCGAATATGAATCAAGGAATAATTGCTTTGTGTATTACAAGAGGGGTCTAATGGGTTTTAAGCTGAATCACCCTGTATAAGGGTAATTGGCAAAAAACAGTCACAAAGTCGACAAAATTGCTCAAAAATATTTTTCTAATTTTTTATGTCGTGATTTGTGCGAAAACAGAAGGGTTGAATGACAAACTCATGCAGCCCAACCCCAAACAAGCCTCAAAAATACGACAAAATATTGGAGCGACCAGGCAAAGAACACCCTGAAAGTCCACATCGCAGATTTTTTGTAGATTTTGAATAAATTTTTATTTTCAATTTTAGTCACTATGTATCATTATGCCTCCGCCTCCCCTTTTTTTAATTTACATTTTAGGTCATCTGTATTTTTTTAATTATAGTCATTTGAGTAATACTTTTTGATTTTACTAGTATGGTGTCCTAAGTGAAAAATAAATATTTCTAATTGATTAAAAAAAATTTGCTAGCGCAAACAACAGAGGACAACATAGACTAGAAAAAACAATTAATTGGAATCTTTTCTACATGATGTCTACATTCTGGCTTGATTACCAATTACCCCAAGCCGAAATTATTCCAAGTTTCAAATTTTCAATATTGAAATGTTAATTATTTAAAACTTTTAACTTTTTCATTATTATATTTTCACAAATACATGTAGAAAATATTCCACTTAAGTAATTGAACAATTTTTTTTTCTAAATTTGATTTTTAAGGTCCCTCTGCCATAGGCTAAAAATTTTGTGCAATATCAAAACATCAAATTGAAGTTTATTTAATCCTCTATCGTTTATACTATCAAAATACTTTTTTAATCAACAAAAAATGTTTATTTTTGCGCCGGCCCTAAAACTTGAGATACCCTGTACATACCTATACAGAGTCAAATGTGAAAAATTTAGTCAAAAATGCTTTACAATTTATGCAAAACACAAATAAAAGTTAGAAACTTTTTAGGATTTTTTTTCTAAGGACTATTTTTGTTACAAAATTATTGACTATTGACTGTGTATCAGCAAATTGCCACTTTTGTTATTTTATCTTTCTGATGATTATAAAAAAATAATATTACATAAGTTTCTTCACTTGCTTGGGGATAAAAAAGTTAGAGATTACAATAAAAGGCCATTATTTTTCTGTTTATTTTGGTTTTCTGACGAAAGGTGATTTAATTCTTATGATAATCTTATTTATGTTTAGGTTTTATGTTGTGTTTTAATGTTAAATAAAAAAATATGGTAAGTTTTATCAAACATCCATAAAACTGTTACATAAAACTGATTGTTACTGCTGGTATATTTGCCAAGTTTTGCTGTTTTTATACAGAGTGCGCCAGAACTCGCACCCTAGAGAAAAATGTAAATGTAAAGTAAGATACCAGGAACATGGAAAAACTGTTAAAAACATTCTACGAGTATATCTACAAGGTTATTCATAAATATGAAGCAATATTTAAACCTCAAAAATGAGCTATAAAATGATGTTAATTTAAATAATAATAATAAAAAATAATAATAATATAATAATAAATATAATATAATAAT